CTCTCTCTCTCTCTCTCTCTCTCTCTCTCTCTCTCTCTCTCTCTCTCTCTCCTCTTCCTCCTCTCCTGCTCGGCCTCTCCTCCTCTACTCAAAGCGCATCACTTCCTCGTCTTCGCGATCTCGATCCCCATGAAAGAGTAGCTTGCCGATTCCGTCGAGGGGTATAATACCGAGGGCCTCGCTCTAGGACTTCACCAAATGTGCAAAATAAAAATAACAGCGATGTTTTGAGTCTTTTGTGCATCCGCTGAGTACCGGAGCGAGGCCTCGACGTGGCTGCCAATGCCACATGGTGGATGGTTATAACTACGGCGCTATGCCCGATACGCATCACGAGCCAGACACCGAAGGAGATTTGCAAGTGGATGAGAACACTGCTCTATCCTCATATGTTCATCCAACTTCCTTTTTTTTTCCCGAAATTGCGTACGCCATTGTGATTTTGATGGAGCCGCTGCTTCACTATTGATCAAGCTAAGAAGGGTTGTCGCGTTGTGAGCCGACATAGCATTGTTCGATCTGAATGTGTATGCTTCTTGTCTTCCACGATTTGAGAGCACACACAACGTCTCCTCCTCCTCGAGCTCCGTGACCTCGACCACGTTGTGCTCGTCGGCAATGTTTCCTTCCCCTGAAGCGCTGGCTGATTCCCGCCTCCTCTCTCTCTCTCTCTCTCTCTCTCTCTCTCTCTCTCTCTCTCTCTGTGTGTGTGTGTGTGTGTGTGTGTGTGTGTGTGCGCGTGTGTACATGCCCTTCTCTCTCTCTCTCTCTCTCTCTCTCTCTCTCTCTCTCTCTCTCTCTCTCTCTCTCTCTCTCTCTCCGTGTGAACCATTTGATTCCTCCCTCCCCCTCCTCTGCACGGAGACAAAAGACATGTTTTTTAGAATAAAAAATAGAATGGAGGCCGAAAGAGATGTCCAGGTCGATCTCGATGCGGCGGTCCCCAGCGCGCACCCACGCATGCAAACTTCATCGGTGCCCGACATGGGTTATTTTTCTGCCAGATGAAAGTGAGAATCCATCGAGCAGTACACGCATGAATGGTAGTTCATTGCTCAGAAATTGCCCTGTGAAGTTGTGTGAACCGATAAACGTAACCTCTTTTACGTTCTCTAATTGGAGTTTCTTAACTAGTCTTAATTAGACTCACTAGAGTGGAGAGAACTGTCTAAAGGGGGGTGGGGAGCGGAAGTATACAGGCGGATCGGATCAGCGATTCAGCGCGGTACTATGTGCGGAGAGCCCAAGCGGCGCAAGGAGGGAGAGTAGAATGGGGATTTGAGACGTGGGAAAAAGCAGTACGGTGCACGGAAGGGGAAGGAGGGGCAAGGAGGGGGAGGATCAGCAGGACGGTGCGCCGAATCCCGCTCATCGGACTCATCCTCCCCCTGGTTCCCCGTTCGTGCACGCAAGGGTTAAGACGTAGGGAACCGCGGAGCTCGGCGGGAAGAACGCATCTGCGGTACGTTTGTGCGGAAGAAACGAGGTGATGGACAGCAGGGGAGCGGCGGATTGACGCGGAGTAGGATGGGGGGAGAGGGGGAGCCCGGAGCGGCGGAATGACGCGGAGTAGGATGGGGCAGTTGAGACATCATAGGCAATCACGGGAGAACCGCATCAGCGATGCCTCACGCGGAATGCGGCGGAAAGACCGACGCGCTGGGGGAGGCGCAGAGGAGCGGGGCAAGGATGGGTAGGCGGAGGACTGACGACACGCCAGCACCACCGCGGTGCCCCGAACACACCGCACCCTCATTTTAACTGTATCCATCTGTATCTACTTTCATTTATCAGGGTGCGTTATGTTCGAACTACAGTATGAATTAGGAAATTAAGAATTAAGAATTAAAAAGGGGAACACCGATGTATGTGCGACGAATTAAGAACTGCATACCAGGAAAAAAAAAAAAAGAGAGAGAAAGGAAAGGAAAGGAAAGGATAAAGGAGGGGGAAATTGCTCAATGCGAAAGGGAAAAAAAGAATTGGGTAATGGATTTCACAGCAAAAGCACGGCCAGGGGAGGGGGAGAGAGAGAGAGAGAGAGAGAGAGAGAGAGAGAGAGAGAGAGA